TTGAATAAACTCATGAACTAGTGCAAGGCATGGTCAGCACTGTGGAACCACAGACACGAGTCCAGATGTCACCTGAGCTTCACTTTCATAATGGTTGTGAAAAACAAACAAATGAACAAAGAAAAACAAACACATAAACAAAAAAAATCACCTGGAATTTGTGTACAGAACTAAGAGAAAAGACTTGGCAAGAAAGGCCCCAATTCACCAAATAAAAGATTGTTTCACAAGTCAATAGAGAAATAAACACAGAATCTACAAATAAAGAAAAGGGGGGGGAAAGAACACAATAAAAAGAGTAATTACAAAGTCTCAGCGTTCAACAGACTAAAATATTTTACAGGAATTGCAGAAAAATTAAACTGAGCTGGAAACTGCAAAGGAGCAAAGGAAGAGAAGGAACAGGCTGTGATGGGACAGGGAGAGGGCACAGACAGCCCTGGACTTGATGGGAACTCAGGACTGGAGAGAAAAGGGAAAACAGCACAAACCCAGAATGTCGGGAAAGGGGAATATCAGTGGCAGGGCCTCAGCTCAGCCAGGACATTCCCAGGCCTGGCAAGAGTCAGACAGGGGACTTTGGTGATGGAGTGAAGCAAGTCTGGTAGTTAAAGATAAGTTAATTAACCTTGGCTACTCCAGAACAGCACTTTCCCAAGACATCTGGCTCTGTCCCTAACACTGTTTGCTTCTCCTGCTGTTTTAGGCTCAAAGCTGCACTGCCAGTTCATTGGCAGGAAGGAGCTCACTGCTGGTGTACAACCCTGGGGGGATGGCAAAGGCACTGAGGGTGCTCTGACCTCTAGAAAACCTGCCAGAAATGGCACAGCCAGGGAACAGCAGGAATGAGGTGACACTGTAACCTGTGATAACAAAAACCTGATCTTAATGACAAAGCCCCCTTGGGTTTTGTGCTCCCACACTGGTATTTCAGAAGGAAATCAGCAGACTGTTACCAACAGCAGCACCACTCACTAATTAACATCTCACACTCTGAAACATCCCTTTATGGAACACCCCGAGACACTGCAAAAATCATCCAGGAGAGAACTGTGGAAGAGAAATCCCTTCCTGCACTCCCCTGGCTCTGTCCCAGGAATGTGCCAGGGGCAGAGACAAGCCCTGAGCTTCCCCGCGGCTGTTCCTGCCCGTCCTGGCAGACACCACGTGCTGTGGGGAACGGGAGCAGCTCCCAACACCCTCCGAGAGCCTCGCCGGGGAATTTATTCTTGAAAGTCATCTCAAACCACACCAGGGCTCTCCCAGGAGTGACCCCCGAGCCCTGCACACAAATAACGGGGATCGCTGTGCCCCCCATTGACCCCTGCCAGAGCTTCCACCGGCCCC